CCCCAAAACCCCAAAACCCCGAAAGTATATTGGTCAATCAAAATAGTTTGATAGCAGATAAATTTATTGAAATTTAAAATTATCATTGACTTCTAATTGAATTAATGGCTTCAGCAATTAACAATACAACTTCAATAATCATACCTCTTAAGGTTGTAGTTATTGGAGATAGAAATACAGGTAACATTTTCGAGACTTTAATATTATAATACATTATAATAGGTATTTCCTCTTTTTTGAAATCTCTACAGAACAATAAGGAAAATGATACCTTCAGAGAAGATCTTAAAAATCATCAATAGCAGTAGAATATATCAGATGAATTTTATGAAATCTTTGTTCGTGATTTTAAGAACAATGTTCAGATCGTGTTCCAATTTACATCAGATGAGTCATACTTGAATCAAGCTGTTTGCTGCATACTTTTTTATGATATAACAAACGCTTTAACTTTTTTAAAGATCAAAGAAAGCATGCTTGACTTAGCTTAAGCACAAATGATGCCCTAGAATTCATTTTTGTACTTGGTTGGCAATAAACTTGATCTGGATTAGCAATCATCTGCTTCCATACTTATGATAGAGGGCGCTAGGGAAGTATAATTTGAAGAAGCTTAGGAATTTGCCTAGATTAAGGGAATACTATTTAATGAAGTTAGTAGTTTAAAGAGAAAAAATATAGAATTAGTTTTGAAAATGCTTAGGACTCGAACAGCCCGACTTCTGTCTGATTGTAAAGATCTTCATATAATTCTTGAAAATAACTCTATCAAGAAATAGCAAATTTAATAACAGTAGGAGATTTATAAGAATAAGAATCATGAAAACAAGAACACATTGAGCTAAAATGATTTAGTGATTCACCAAATAGAAGAGAACATGTACGGCCAAAATGAAGATGAATAGGATGATTATGATTAGTTTGAATACAGAATTATAAGTAGGGATGAGAAATAGAAATCTGGGTAGCAGAGCTCAAATCTGAATACTCAATAATTCGCAAGCTAAATTAAGCAGCTTGATACTGCTCAGTAATTTCATTTTTATAATTAAAATCATACTAGTTTTGGCTAAGAAGATGATGAAAATGACTACCAGAAAAGGCAGGTTTTAAATCAGATCTTAGAATCTAAATTATATAAAAGTAACTAAAGTCATAGGGAGTTGAATAACAAGGAAATGAGTTTATCTTTGAATGACATTAATTAAAACATGCTAATGAATCATGATTTTAATCGGAAAAGCGATCTTGATGGTATAAATATTGGATACGGCATGGATGAGACAGACATCATTGAGGATGATAAACTTTTGAAATCACTTGAAAAGAGATTTAGAAATTATGATGAAAAAAATAATCAAAACTTTATAGAGTCATAGCAAAATGAGTTTAATAAATTTGCTATCCGAACTGATCAGAGTCCCACTTTATACAAAGAAGATGAGAGTAGTGAATAGAATGCACCAGGCTAAACACCGTAGTTTTAACTACCAGCAAGATTTCAGAACTAGTAATAAAATAACAAAAATGGGCCTTCAATTCTAGATGAGTTATAAAATGCAATGAAGAAGTATTCTGATAATAAGATGGTTGAAGATAGTTTTTAAGAAGATAGATTGATCCCTTATTAGATATCTAAAAACAAGAAATCGAATAACCAACCAGAAAACAATATGAAAATTGATTAAAAAACAGTTAAGGTAAAGGACAATGAGTTTATTAAGAATCTTGATAATGACATAAAGAGAACTGAGGAAAGCCTTAAAGAAATGAATGATAGATTTGAAAAAATCAAGTTTTAATAACATAATTCTTAATCTCCATTGAGAAAAAGCATGAATGCAATCAGCCCAATTAAGAAGACTGGAACAAATGGCTTTATGAATGGCAATGATATTGTGAGAAGCTCATCTTCAAATGATGTAGTTCCCATATTTGAAGCGAGTCTCTTCAAATCTTTCGATCAAAGGATTGCAGGATGTGTAAATCCTCAGAATAAAAATACTACACGATAGAATTAAAATACAATGGCCAATCAAAGTTAAATATTGAATTATAAATCAAGAAACTCAAATTAGACTGGGCTACTAACAGATAGACCAACTGCAAAGCCATCAGCTTCATTCATTGTAGATCATAAAGAGAAGCCATTGATTACTTTAAGAATAAAGCTCAGTAATGTTCACACTGTAAGTGCTAACATATATAAAGATGATACTGCTCAGACTGTTGCAGATAGAGTTTTCAGGCATGCTAACATTAAAACTAATACCTAGTCAAAAGATAAGAGGAAAATACTAGCATAGATAATTGAATTGCAAGTAAACCAATATATAAACTCATTCAAAGATTAAATTGACAAGGAGACCAAAGAACTGAAAAAGCAGTAAAAATAACTTCAATAAATAGAGAGAGAGAAGAGGCTATAAGAAGCAGCTTCAAAGTCAATTTAATAAATGAACACAGCAAAAAGGTATCATGTTAAGGAAGAGAAGAAGCAGAAAGTTATATGTAAATTATCAGTTATAGTTGGTGCTTCGAAGAAGGGTGATATTGTTGCTAGGGAAGGTGATAACGTTTAACTCTTGGTAAAAAATTTCATGCAGTCGTATGGTCTTAAGAGAGACTTAATGCCAACTATTATTCAGAGTTTGGAATCCCTTATAAAGTCTAATGAACAAAAGAAATAAAACTAGAATAACTAAATTGAAGCAAATGGAAATTTTATAGATTAATCAATGTCTATAGATGAAAATGAATTGAGATTGAACGACGAAAACCATCCTCTTAATAACTCTTTTTAGCCTCTAAACTAATCACCTGAAGAAAATGTTTTTGGAAATCCCTTTGCAGATCGAAAGAATCATCTCCTATAGCAGAGTAGTGCTATGAGCACGATAAGCAAAACTAAGAATGGTCAAGGTCACTTACTATTTAGGTTGAATTTCGAGATTGGAGAGGGTAGATTAGGGAAAATTAGTGTGAGAGAGGGAGATGATTTTAGTTAATTGGCAAAATAGTTCGTTCAAAAGCATAACCTAGGAGATGAAGCAGTCAGAAAAGTCTTATTCTTAATTGAGCAGACTTACAACAACAATATGAAATAAAATATTTGATATATAAAGGATTTTTAAGTTATTAAGATTGTGCAAGATGGGGTTTTGGGGTTTTGGGGTTTTGGGG